TAACTTCGTACTTCAGTGCGCCATACCCTCTCGTTGTACGTCCCATAGTACGGTGGATGTACAACTAACGTCGATTGCACAATTAGTTGACTTAGATCTCAGTGAAATTTGTGGACAGTCAGTTGATTTAGTTAGCTGATAACGTTTCGCTATTAACACAAAAGCTTCATCTGAACAACTAAATAAAGCAACAGATTGTTCAAGAATTTCACTGAAACCATCGGTTCCAAGTTGATTTTAATGATTGAGTTAGACTTTCCTGCTGTGCACTACTTCCCGTTGGACAACTTCATGAGTCCTGCATGTCCTCTAGTTCAATCGACCTATAGTCTGTCAACTCTAATTGGTCCAGAAGCGGCACTCCGAGCGGTCCCTCCGAGTGAATTCCCGATAAGCAAGCATATTTGCGAAGGTCTGAGTCATAGACCCTCTGTCATCTCTTAAATGTGTGCACTGTTCCGAAGAACCGGTTTTTACTGATTCGTCCCGTTAGTCTGAAAAGCATCAGTCGGTTGTTTCGCTATGTTGGGGCCCGTCAGTTCTGCTCATCCTTCGACTACAGCGGTAACTGAAGACAATAGGGCGAAACGGCTGTCGGATGCATTCCCGGATTGGTTGGCTTGAAGAGTATTAAGAGGAATCAGAAAAATTTCATTAAATATCCCCTACCTGAACATCCATTTTATCTATTCCCATCTCCATGATCCCGACGTTAGCGAAGTTGCAACAAGGTGTGGCATCATGAGATGATATCATTGGTTAGGAAGTAGTAGACCCAATCTTTTATTCATTCGGGTGTTCTAATTGTGGGTTTTATTGTGACAGATAGCTCATAAAAGTCATCCAGAAGACTGATTTACAGGTGGTTAGACGCTAGCACATTGTTTCTGCTTCCGTTCCCTTACTACTAACTGCGCAACACTGTAGAATGCTCTGCACCTGGAAGCAGACTATTCTTTTATCACAGTGCCACTTCACACCAGGTGCCGGATGAGCGCCACAAGCAGTACAGGCAAATAGAACTACCTTCTTTGATTTCAGGAGAGCATTTGCTCAAACAATCGCGTCCTCATTTTAATACCCTTAGCTTGAAAAGCGTGAGAAAGGAGTCATTTCACGCAGTGAAAAAACCGGAGCTACATTCACGAATCTCCAACGCTTTTAACACGATAGTGGAATTTTCAAGATTCGTTAACACCATGCCTCAGGAACACACTGAGGTTCAGTGGCTTCGACCGTTAACCATTAAGCGCCGAGTTCCACTCCAAGCTCAGGATATCTCTTCCTGACGAGTCCACAGGAGAATGAAACCGGTCGTGCGGTACCAGTGTTGGGAGGAGGAGGAGGAGCACCGAAACGCATGCAATATGTGAAAGGTCTTTCTAGTTGGTGGCACTCGAAGAGATCCCAAGTACCATTCAGTCATTGACTGTTCTTCTCTGTGGAGCACCAGTGGTGTCGGATGGCACCAGCGATATGGCGTACGGCAGCGTACTGTGCGGTGACGATCGGATTGTCTCGTTAGACTTGCCCGATTATCAGAATTTCCCAAATCTCCTATCCGAACAGCTTGGGGAGAGTGTGTGTGCAGTGAGATGTTGGAAATCCCGCCCAGTACATATCTTTGCGTGCACATCATAATATTTCTGTCTCATCAGGTTGGATACGCGAGAAACACCTAGATAACGCCGAACAGATGGTCAGCATAAATGGCACAGGAAAGACTTCATCCCCCCAAAATTAGAATGCCCACTGAAGGTAGAAGTTGAAAAGTGGTTCGTGAACTGCTTTATTCGAAGCAAAGTGTCTGATGTGCATAAAGGAGCGGAGAGACCGACGCTCGCGACTTGTAGACGAGTGTCATGGGATCAACTATCATGCCCGCCTAAGCTGTACTTAATAAACACATGTAAAGGAGTATCTAGCCTGGAAACTTCTGCGAGGAACCCGCTACTCACGTGTGTATCAAAAGCTCCGCCATAACCAGCTTCTAAATGCTGTTGTACATTGCCACTGTCAGCAGGAGCCGTGTCTCTCGATACGAACCCTGTTCACTGCAAGATGCGCCATATCACAGTTCGTTTATAAATCAGGAGGATCCACCGCTGTTCCCCATAGAGAGCAGCGACATAAGCTGCTGGCTAACGGCGCAAGCCGTTGTTGTGCTTTGGTTTGGATCCAGATGCGTCTCATGGATGAACACTACTGACATCAAGGTAGGAAGAAACGGCCGTCTGGTGTTCCTTCCGGCATGTGGAGCACTATCTAACTTAGAAGCTGTTGCGACGATACCCCAAAGTATTTGCATAAAAAATCACGTATTCATGAGTATGGCAAATGGCACAGTGTATTCAGCTCCCAACACGTGTGACAACCAAGCAAAAGTTACAGTGAGCACTTCTGTTTCGCTGTGCTTCGCGATGGCAATGGAATTTCCTTGTAGAGCAGCAGCATCATCGTTCATATATTCGAAATTCGACTCTGCTGGAATTAAGGCTGTACACACAGTCTTTTAGAATATCTTATTTCTCTTTATATGTGACGTCGTATACTTGCATGTACGTAGCTGTTATGATTATGCTGGGGTGCATCACAGACAGCATGTGACTATGCTCAGATGGGATCATCACCATGAAAACTGTTTATCGGTCCCAGCAATCAGGTCGAATGCAGTGAACAGAAGTAAACCCAATTTTTCATCTCGCTTACATTTTACCGAATACTATCGTTTCTCACACACCCGCCAACTATAGGCTTCTGTTAACTCTGTTTTATCAATACATGAAGCGACATATAGTGGCAGTTGCTAAATAAGAGAAGACGAATAATTTAAAGGTATGTGAGAACGTCAACAATCAGGTAGCACCAGTATGTCTGGGTGTAGTGCAGGTATTTGTCTATGGTTATTTGGGATTGAAGGTAGAAGGTATCAGCAATACCCCGGTGCGCAGTACTGACGTTTCGCTGCCGCGCAACCACCAAGAGTTTCGAGTAAGCTAGAGATACTGAGAGGGATGCCCGGTTTTCCATTTAGGCTCGAAACTGCGTCCTCAGATTACAAGGGAGGCTTGTGATCCCTTAGGCGTCGCGTCTGGGATTGGTTCAAGCTTGAATCAGCGATGTGCAAGTACCTCTGAAGCGGGAAGAACTACGATTGTCCAGAAAGCTTGGAGAGGTCGAACAGCATCCGGTAAACGGAATTTGATCCACGGAACAGTACCAAAGGAGAGGACCAGCCAACCACAAGCCGCAACGACTGCAGTGAAATGCGATCCGATACGCTATGCAAATAACAGTTTATATTGTGGCTGGCAGATTTTGATCGAATTCCAGCACTTGTTATCTCTGGAGAGCGGCACAACACCACAGAAAGACAGGAGGATAACATCGCAAAGTGGTCAATGGTATATTGTGGAGAAAAAACGTCGAAGCATGACATGTCCCGGCAGATGATCAATTATGGATGAGCAAAATGAAGGCAGAAAATAGTAACAGGAGAAACTGGCCAACCACAGTGTCCCCCGTCTGAGCAGTCTACACTTGATTTCATGTATTATGCAAGAACGTTGTCTGTAGTTTCCAGACAAAAATGTAGGCGAGTTGATTTGCTTTTGTTTTTCTGCTGTGAGTGTGGATCGTTTGGGTTACGTGATGTGCTGTGATGCGCACGGCTATTGTAAAAGAGCTATGAACATAGCTAACGTGGTGGCTCAAATTACGGCTTCTGAGAGGGTATTCTATGTGCGGCAAACATGCAGCGAGATGAAGTTTATTTGACATTCCAACTGGCTGTATTGTTCTGCCAATTTGGGATGATGGCCTCTCAATCGGTTGCTGTGACTCAGCTTCAACAGGTGATGGTA